CGCCCTTCAAATGTTCGGATACAGCTAGTTAACAAACTCATTAAAAAACTATTTTCCCACAATTACCTGACAAAGTGGCCTTCCTTTCACTGATTATAGTACGCAAAGTAGCTAATTGCTTCATTTACTTACTTTTGACGCAATCGTTTTTTGCCGCACTTTTGTATTCTAACCAAACTACAGACAAAACAGTGTGCTTTAAGTTGGCACTAATATTTGTACGCTTGAAAATAAGTTGGCAACTATGATCAGCTGGTGCAGGGTTTCCCATTCCGTTCAACGTTTTGATTTGACCTAACCTAAAAACTTTTATTATTTGTATGCGTTATAGTAACTGTAGGGAAAATATAATGTGTAACGCGAGTGCAAAGTGCCACTTCGCACACTAGTTACACAAATAACTATTCTCTGACAAGTTTGATCCAAATTGCACCAAATTGAAGAATTATTACTACAACACTCTCTATTTATAAATAAATGACATTGTTTGATGAACGAGTTGCCAGTAACTGTGCCACAGCGGCATTTGTCTGTAAGGTCCAATATATCAGTTGCTGGATGCTGGACAAGGCTACTGTGAAAGGGCGGGGGCGGGAGTATCCACGTTGTTGTTTGAGGTTTGTTTATTGTGTCCGCCTCCTCACCCTCCATCCTCTCCCATTCTCTCTTCTTCCACACTCTACACGCTTTATAATTAATTCCAACAATTACTCGTTCGACCGTTAAATCCATATTTTATAGCTGATGCACCTAAATTAACTAGTAACGGGTTGCATTCATTAGCAAAGCACAATAAACTCCCGACGGATCGACAATAAAACATTCAACTCGTCTTGATGTATATGTATGTTTTATGCGATGGTTGGTTATAAAAGGTTTACGCCGATATTATATCAGATTCTACATTAATTCACTCATTCCAACAATTTCCTTATTCGTATACGATTATTTCTATGACAGTTGTGAATACTCCCACTGCAACAAACCTGCAGGCTGATCGAAATTCCATTTTACAGATTTTATTTTTACTCAAATATTTCCGTAAACATGTCAGATTTATTCCCTATGTAAATAACATTATTTTTATTAGGTACGAGTACTATTATTATTATTATTAGGTTTATTAGGTTTACTAGGTACTTAGGCTACAGGAAATAAAAAGCGTTTTTCTTTTGTTTATTTTTTTCTGTAAAATTTTTAAATATTGTTATGGAATAGATACATTTTCCTAATTTGATAAAAATGTATCCATAAACAAACAAACGACGACAGTTTACTTTTTTTCTTTTTCCCTACGTACTCGCGTACAACAACGCTTCAAGGTAAAATAGTTAATTTGTGCAACTAGCGCGTGAAGTAGCACTTTGCTGCACATGATAGAATTCGTTTACGTACGAGCCGCAGGCGAGTGTGGAATGTTTTTTAGTACAGCAAAGACACTTTGCGCTCGCATTACACCTAATATTTCCCTACAGTTACTATAAAACATATAAATAATTAGTCTTTCAAACACTAAACAACAAATATAGGCTAGGTAAAATCCAAGCGTTGAACGTAAATAGAATGTTAAAACGAAAAAACAGGTTTAAGTAGTAGTATTAAAATTCAAAAGGCTGTGAAACGCTGCACAGGCTGATCGTAGTCTTTTAGTTTCTTAAACTGTTGCCAATTTATTTTTAAGCGTACACGTACTTTTAGGTAACTGTAGGAAAAATTATTTGTTTTTAGCTTTACTTGATAGCTATAATAAAAGTTGGGCTTTGGAATATTTTAACGGTGGACATTAGTAAATTATTATGAGAAACTTCAAAGCCTCATAACGATAACTCGGAGTCGCATTTTTCCCAAGTAGTGCCCTTTGGAGCTGAAAATTAGAAATTTAAATGATAAAGAACAGTAATAGCAAAACTCTATTTTGGTTTGGCCATAACATTGGTGGAGGAGATATATTTAAAGCAGAAATAAGAAATATTAAAATTCAATTTTTCTATAGAAACTTTATTCATATTATTGTTTGTTTCATATGGGACTTATTTCCTGTTATATTATTTTAAAATATTCAAAAACTTTAATACAATTGATAAAACTATGACTGGAAGTAAACATACACCGAAAGATATGTACAGGGGATGAAAAATATAAATTGAATACTTAACCATTATTTTTAATAAACACTAGCTTTTACCTGTCGGCTTTGCCCGACATACTTTTGGATTTTTTTACTACTACGGCTGAAGTTGTAACTTCACTAAGGGCTAAAATTACATTTTCTTGATTTTTCCGTGTTATTATGTAATAAATCCTTTTGTATATAGCCTAATAAACTTCTCTAATCAAGCATATATAGGACTACCAAAATAATACTAAGGCGGAAATTCTGCATTTGAAAAATTAGCAGCCATCTACAGTAGATGGCTGCTAATAATCTGCAGTAACTGTGAGCTTAGAACTGCTCTCTCTATCTCTGGAACAACACACATAGTCCTTTTTAGCAAAATACTATCACCTTTGTATCACCTTTCACTTATTATTATACCCTTAAAACAAATTTGCCAATGGTACAGAGAGGTTTTTTCATAACTTTATTGAAAAGAATTAGATATTGTATTATCTTAAAGTAGCGTTAAGTACTGTAACAGAAAAAGCTTTATTTTCTGGCATAATGTTCTCTCTCACTTTCTCGACATGCTCCTGATTTGATATTATTGTAGATTTCTGTCTCTTCTTTTTAACGTTTTTTGGACTACTGATACTACATTTGATTTTGAACTACATCTTCAGTCAGTAGTATTTGCCTTTTAGTATAGCAGTGGGTGTTCATAATGCAATCTACCACACTAGAAGATGTTACAAATTTTTAAATGTGGCGCAGTTGATGCTCTTCATCATGAACTCGAAGACTGCCATTCTTTCTTTTTAGTGCCCTAGCATTGCCTTCCGGAACAATGCCGTGCACCGATGTGTTTCAAATGTTTCACAATCAAAGTTCAATACAACAATCCATTGTAAAATCATTCTACTCGTAATTAAAGTAATTCATTGTGCTCATAGTACTGGCTGGACAGCGTGTTGTAATATGTGGTATTGCCTTGAGGCCAGACTTTGCTGGTGGTCGCAAATCTCCAAACACCATGTGGTCATGTTGCTATTGATCTTTCACGACACATGTGTATTTGAATTGTTAAGACTGTCATGTTTTAATTCATAGACACGTTGTGTTAACCACGTGTTGTTTATTGGACATATATTTTTTTACAATGTAGTATTGTGTAGGAACTGGACTTTACTGGTGGCCGCAAAGCTCCAACCTCCATGTAGTTGCGTCGCTATTGATCTTATACACATGGGTATTTGTATAGTAAAGATTTGCATTTTGTAATTCATCAACAACGTTGTATCGACCGCATGTTAGATGTTGGACAGCGGTTTGTTATGTGTGGTATTGTCTAGGGACTGGACTTTACTGGTAGCCGCAAAGCTCCAACCTCCATGTAGTTGCGTCGCTATCGATCTTATACACATGGGTATTTGTATTGTAAAGATTTGCATTTTGTAATTCATCAACAACGTTGTATCGACCGCATGTTAGATGTTGGACAGCGGTTTGTTATGTGTGGTATTGTCTAGGGACTGGACTTTGCTGGTTACCGCAAACCTCTAACCTCCATGTAGTCGCGTTGCAATCGACCTTATACACATGGGTAATTGTATTGTAAAGATTTGCATGTTATAATTCATCAACAACGTTCTATCGACTGCATGTTAGATGTTGGACAGCGGTTTGTTATGTGTGGTATTGTCTAGGGACTGGACTTTACTGGTGGCCGCAAAGCTCCAACCTCCATGTAGTTGCGTTGCTATCGACTTATACACATGGGTATTTGTATTGTAAAGATTTGCATGTTATAATTCATCAACAACGTTCTATCGGCTGCATGTTAGATTTTGGACAGCGGTTTGTTATGCGTGGTATTGTCTAGGGACTGGACTTTGCTGGTTACCGCAAGGCTCCAAACACCATGTGGTCACTTTACTATTGATCTAATCGATTTTGTAAACGCGACCTTCTAGTGATTGTACTACTACTACGTATCTACATGACTTCTAATAAATACATTGTACTTAAATCTATCTATCTATCTTATATTGTAAAATCTACTGGACTTCTATTTTAGTATTTTACCTCTTTTAAAAGTCATTAAATTTGCAATTTTGTTATGATTTTTTATTTTAACATTTTTGTAATGTACAATTGTAAACTGCATGTTTTAAAGTTATCGATATAATACAAAAATATTTAATATATTGTTCAATTCCAACTATTTTAAGTCAATGTTGACAACTCTTGCTGTTGTAAAGCTCATGTGCAAAATTTTGCATCACCCTTTTCAATGTTCGTCATCGATCTGTTGAAAATATTTCTCTTCATTATTGGTTTGAAATTATTTTATACATCTGATTGATATCACCTTGAGTTGTATTCATTTAGCAGACACTATTTAAAATAGTGTTATCAGCCTTCTAAATCAGTGCTTCTATAGAATTCTTTCTAAAAAGGTTAACGACTTCGTTGTCTGGACAGATAGAGTTGTTTATGGCTCACTTCTTTTTTATTGCTATCTGCTTTGTGGGACATTTTACAGTGGCAACATAAACTGTGACAATCAGATCACCTTTTGCTAATGATACTTTAGTTTCTTTTGTGATTTCTCGAGTAAGGCGTAGACTACAATTAAGGGAGAAAGAAAATAATAGTTTCAGAAGTAATTTACAATAATTTAAAATAGTATTCAGTATCAATACATGTCAAAATGTATTTTCTTAATGACATACAACTTAAGCCCTGCTGCGTCTTTAACATAACTCCTTCTAACTGATCCCTCGTTTGCGTTAGTTGACATTTTGACTTCAAATCCGAAGCTAAATTTTTGAAGCTAGTTTGTACGTAATATACATTTTGCATGGCACTTCAACTAACATTCTATGTTGTTGTGTTCCAGACGAGTGCTTGTGCCACCAGTACCGCCAGCAAGGCTGTAGGACCCAACAATTCAGTGACTCCGTCCACCCTCACCCCTACATCCACCGCCTCCAGCACCGCCCCCACCGTCGCCAAGGCCGACCCCAAGCCTGTCGAGTGCAACCTCTGTCACCGCAAGTTCAAGAATGTTCCAGCTCTCAATGGTCATATGCGGTTACATGGCGGCTACTTCAAAAAGGTAAGGAACCGTTGGGTATTTGGCAACCCAACAGTTTAAATATTACTCAATTAGCTAAAGCAAGGCGCAAAGTTTAGCTAGGCAAGTAATAAACAGACAACATACTTAACGAAAAACATTCGAGTAAAAATGCATACTATAGATTGTGATTTGGGTACAGTGTGACTTAAAAAACGGAAAAGTTTGAACATGCGATTGCAACCGTCCAACGAGGACGGAAAAATGTCTTTTCATCACTCTGTATTCGAAAATAGCCCATTTCCATACAGCTGAGATCATCGAAAATCGTCAATTTCCATACACCAAAAACAAATAGTGATCACCTGACTTTTCCTGGCATAAACATTACTTTCGCTACACAAAATACCTACTACTATACTAGTGAATGCTTAAGTAGTGATGTTAAGTAGTGTTTGCCTGACATCAACAAAGAAAAATTAATAGAATACGAAATATCAGATATTTTTTAAAAGCTTGATTAAGTAGTTTTTTCATCGTGATAAAAATATCTTTCAATACTCGTCACCAAAGTCCCATTTCGGGGATCGATAGTGTTTCCCATGCTCGACTCGCATTTAAAACACTATCGATCCCCGAAATGGGTCACTTTCTTGACTAGTAGTGAAATATACTATTTTAGTAAGTTGAATGGAAAAACCCGCCATTTGCCTTAAGTCGTAGGATTTTTCAACCCCAGCTATGTTTAAGAATGGAATACAGTACTGTAATATTCCTGGAATATTTGAATACTATAAATATATATTTTCCATGCTGCTAAAGGAGCCTAAACACCATCACAGTAATAACTCAATTCCTCAAGTAAGTATTTTTAGTCTCGAAGTAAAATTAGTCAATAATAAAATACATTAGTATCTTTTCACCTAGCTTGATTATAAAGTGAAATTATAACTTTTATTTCAATAAAAAGAAATCTATGATGATTTTTCAATTAAGTATATACTCTGTAGTACATTTTAACAAAATATTATTTTTTATTCGTTTATGTAAGATTATAAACGCTGCACACAATTTATTCAGTAAAGACTAAATCGACTTTCAACGCCCGTCTTTGAGGTTGGCCGTTCACTGTATAAGCTTCAAGTTAATCTAAGAACCGGGATGGTTCAGCCACTAAATTAAACCATTTGTTTATTCTACTCTGGCTTTAAAAATGCACGCCGTGGTTCAAAGCCCCCCCTCCCCCCCTTTCAATCAAGCGCAAGAACGGCCTTTGTCTGACTTTGAATCAAGAGTAACTGCTTCAATTTAGATCAATCCATTACAAAGGGTTCTCTTTGTTTACGCTCAGTGATTAGAGTGGTCTATGAAATATTGATCAGCAGCAATTGTTTGTATACAAATAGAATCGATGTAATGCGAATCAAATAATCTGCTTCTGTAAATTCTATGTGAGGAAGCAATGCCGGTTAATGTTCTGTATGGATTGTTGGTTAGAACATAAGCTGTATATTTTGTATACCAAATTCGAATTCGTGAAGTTATTTACCTAATCCACCTACTGACCAAATATTTAAATTAATACATCCATGTCTCTAAGGTGCATAGGTTTTCCCATTTATTTTCCTTCTGATAAAGATAAAATTAACTTAAATTCATTTGGATGATAATCAAATCAACGTCATAAAAGCGATACTTATCCGTTACGAAGATAAAACAGAAAAGATAATTTTCCCTAAACTAAAGTTTTCCCAAAATGATATTTCAACAAGGGTGAGAGGCTTAGGGCTTACAGGGAGGTAATATTCGTCCCTAATATGGTAATGGGAGGGGATCCTGCTAAGTGCTCTATTAAAGTTCTCTCAAGGGATAAGAACCGCCGTAGAGAACCCATAGAGCCCGAGTTATGATGGTTACTGACCTACTTGCAGTAGTAATCACACGATTCGACTAATGTTTGAAGATAGAACTAACTGTGTTCTTACCATAGTCCTCTCATACCGAATTTCCTTTGTGAATTGCATGCGTGAAGAAGGAAACCGTGTTAACAAACACAATCAATAAGTCAATAAAGTCCTTAAACTAATGGTTAAGCTCATTTTTATCACGATACAGCAATTATTATTGTTCTCCTAGCTATAACTAAGTGGTTCAATGTAGACTAATTTCATGAGTCAGCATATTGACAGGAAATAAAATAGATTTACATTTTTCGTAAACAATGTTGTTAACATAATTTTCCATTTAATTGAAAAGTAAAAAGTTCGTTTTGAACCAATACGTTCCAAAAAAGTGAAGCTATAACAGTTATAATTTCAATTTTTGTATTCCGATGACAGTCGCGACGCGAGCAAAGTTATTCTATACCTCGCTGTTCTGTGGTTAATCACCAACTTGCACAACTTTGACACACGTTTGGTTATTGCTAACTTCTGAATCCATAATCCGCTTAAAACTCAGATGGAGCATTAAATGTGGTTCAAGTAACTTAAAACAAATGTTCTAAATATATGTACGTGTCAAGGCTTTTCTGCTTTAAGTCATAGAATCACTTTAAATCATTTATCATGTGTACACTTGTTTAGCATTAAACCCGTCATTTTACTTTCAGTCTGAGTATTCTATCAATTAGATAGCTTGACTATTATTTTAAGACTACAATATGCCTATGCGATTAGGAACCAATAACTAAACCTGTGAAGCCACTAGTGTTGAGGGTATCGCTTGGAAACGCTTAGCACTGCGTACCGTAAAAAAAAAACTTTGTAACGACTCAGAATTTATTTTGAGTCTGAGAGTAGATTCAAACGTCTTTTTTCACTTTGAAGTAGCAAGTAATGTTATCGGTAAATCATAAATAAGTAATGAATCGGTGCAAATCACAGCATGTTGATTGTTGCACTTTGATTTCATCAACAAAGACCGTGCGCCGCCTTATGTTCCTCTCTGGCTCAAAGTAACACTTCAGTCATGTCCAGGCTGCAAAATATCCAGCTTCGAAGCCTTCAAATAGTGTACTACAAAGCTACCCCTTTAACTCTCGCCCTGAAACCGAACTACGATGTCGATGTCTACACCTGCACTTCCATATTATCTTCCGTTACTTTATCAACAACTTATATCTCAAAGACTTCGATTGTAACGTCGAAGTCCTCAAATTCCTCTTTGACCTCTACTTTACAAATAAACCTGCCAATCCAACTGAGCCACAACAACACCAATTGTGATCACACAGAAACCACACCAACTATCAACACCATTCCAACACCACATATTGTTGTGACAAGGTGCTAACTCATATAACAAAGCGTACCGTAATCTACTTAGTCCCGATGAAAGCCTCTACTCTAAACTTTCCAAGTCCTAGAACAGCCTATGACAGTCTAGAAGGGCTTATCCCAACTCCGCACGGTCGTCAGAAATTTGTCAAAACCGACTGTCCATCTCCGCGCGATGTTTATATGTTCCAAAGTCTTAATAAATACACAATCTATCGACCTAACCTATCGCAACCTAACCTAACCTAACTTGACCTAAACTAACGTAGCCTGTCACATGAGTAGCCTAAAGTAGTTATGAACAAATAAAAGAGTAACATTACTTTTGGGAGTTTGTCTATACACAAAGTAAACACTGGAAAAGTTGGACTGGACCCTTCAGGGAAATAAAACTATTCCTCGTCCAAAATCTGACCAACGCGCGCCCCTCTTGAAGAGCCGTACACTGAAAGTCGAGATCATGTCATGAGTAGATCGGATCCTCCCATCTTCTCTGTATTCAAAACACAATGATAAGGCGAAGAGTACAGTACTGCATACGGTGACAATTGTTAATGTATAGTACTGCAAGTGGGGGTGTTTTCCTGTGTGGTAATATAGGTCAGTGTACTTATTTATCAGTTATAATTAGACTATAGCAGTTTACTTCTACAATGACAGTCTTTGCAGAAACGGCAAGTCCCTCCATAGATTATTCAGATTATAACTGCTAAGGTGGCAAAGTACTGAATAGCTCATGCGTTGGCATTTTACCGTGTGATGAACATTAGGTAGGCCATGGTACTCAACTGTGTATTATAAGTATTCCAGGTCACTGCTACAGTGGCAGGCATTGCAGGTACGGCAAGTCCCTCCATCCACTACGTATTCAGATCACAAGTGCTCAGTTCCCCGGCAAAGTTATTCTAGACGCCCGCTCTCGTGGCTTATCGCTGAAACTTGGATTCACCTTTCCTACTTTCCACGAGTTTGCCGTTTAACAGCGCTTAAGTTTGAGCTAACTTCTTAAACAAAAGTAGGGAATTGTATATTTAAAAAGTCAAACTTTACTTGTACTCGTACTGTTCACGATTTTACTTTACTCAGAATTGTTCTACCAGAATTTATTTTCAGAATATCTAAATTTATATCAGTCGTCTCTGCTTAGTAGAATGTGTCATATAGTGAAATGATGAATTATTTGAGTCTCGTATGCTAAAAGTGGCATTAGTTTATGTAACAAGGACTCCTCAATTCTTGAATAATCATGTTTTAATTTATACCTATATTAATTAAATGTTGCATACATAGCTCTACAAAATGTCAAAGAAAGAAATTTTAAAATTGTATATTTTTAAAGTAAAAAAATGAAAAACAAATTTTTACCTGATAAAACTCCCAATAACCCCCGTTCCCATAGTCCGATCATGCTGGTTCGCGAACTCGTTCAAATTAATGATAGGTCAACACGTTTGTAAAAAAATCATCAAAATTGGATCAATTTCATTGCTCGAGTTATCGTGGTAACGGACATAAACATGGATTTGAATGGAGGGAGTTTTTGGCCTCTGGGGACCTCAAAACGAAAAAAAATTGGCCCCGGGTCTAGGTCTTACCATGACACCTACGGCAATGGCTTGTTTCTTGTATATACGAAATTCTATAAGTGCAGCTAATGTATAAATATGTGTTGTATTTATTTCTAATTGACGTAATGTTTGTTGCTTACCCAGGAGACTAAACATCATCAGATAACTATTGCAGTAAGTAGATCTTATTTACAGATCAATAATATTAGAAACATATTTGTTGAATATGAAAATAAATACATTTTTAAGGGTTGCCTATAGTTATAAACATTTATTTATCTTTAACTTTATGCCACAATTAATCCTGAGGATGGTGTAGTTGCTAGAGTGAATGTTTAAACGATTTATCGACCTTTGAGGTATATTTAAGTGGTAACAACCCTAGAAGTAATATTTAGTTAAGCATTTAGTGGGGATACCATCTACTTAATGATTTCTTGGGTCAAAAATAAGTAAAAAAGGTGTATAAAATATGTCATATCTCGTTCCGTTAGGTATCTGTATGGGTTTTTACCAAGCATCCATACCTCTTCAACGAATTGAGCTACAACGATTAGGTTCTGCAAAAATCTTAATCTTATTAGCAGCCAGTAAGATACTTGTGAAAAATATGAATATCTACTTCTTAACCATTTCAAAATGATAGCTATTTTAAATATATTATGACAAGTTTCACGAAACCCGTTAATTTTAACAAAGACTCGCAAGATATGAAATTTATAGAAATGAAATTTAGTAAATGTTGTGTACATGCAACAATATCAAGCTTAGTTTTAACAAAGAATAGCGTAGATATTAATTTCTTTCTTGCTACACCTACAGTTTTCTCCAAACAATGTTAAAACTACGTTTTACCTCGGCCGGAACTGTTCTTTGTAATAGCAAAACACGATTTGACCCATTTTGAGAGCCAATTTATGAAGTTAAACAATGTTCATTAAAATTCTTTAATTATTTTAAATAATTTTACCTCAAAAATTATAAAAAATATGATTGATTATTCGGGATGAAATAGTGTCATAACTAAATAGTAATCAAATAAATATACTATTTACACAATTATAGTAGATATTTATACTAGTAATGTATTTAAATAGCAATGAAGTAATCTGATTTGTAAATTCAAAAAACATTAATAGAAACATAGTAATATAAATGAATCTATGAATAGATGATTTGCTACCTATATCCACACACAGCGAGTAGCTATTAGTTATTAAGCTGTAAGCTTTGGCCATCATAAAGCAGTCTAGTGGCTCTATTATATTTACAGCTAAAATAAAACAGCCCCATCTGGCATAACGGCATCGGCTCGCAAATCAAAGGATTTGCAAACATTAGTTTAACTCACTATGTTCGCCATCTGGATTAAGGGACAAATGCAACGAGCAATAAAAACAATATTGCAAGCTCTTAATAGGATTTTAGTAATTACCAAATAGAATTATTGTGACTTATGATAAATACCAATCGTTTTATGGGAGCTAAACCGGTCAATTTATTTGAACATGTTCATTATTTGCATTATATGTACATATAAAAAGCGTAATGAAAACTGCCATCGGCTCGTTTTGTAAAATGCCAAAGATATTGTTTTGGCCCATTTTTCCTACCTTATTACTTTTTACTTTCACCCCCTATACCATGGTATATAGAGAAAGTATTGTTTTCGTCAAAATTTTCGAGTTTGAGTTTTTAATGGATATATCCGTTTTGGGCCCCCCTGAACCCAAAAAGGTGGTTTTCGAAGTGATGGCTGTGTGTGTGTGCGTGTGTAGATGTGTACAGAGGTACAGATAACACCTGTAATCCGATTTTGATGAAATTTGGTATGTAGGTAAAAGTCTATGGTATCTCCAGGCATTTTTTCAGTTTAATGAAATTTTTATTTTTAATGCTGATTTTCCTATAAAAATCCATAAAGTTATGGAAAAATCAGATTTTCTCGAAAATGGTCCGATTCATTTTGATAAATATTTAGTATGTTACAGTCCTTTGAATTCTGAACAAAATTGTACAAATACCATTTCCGTAAAAATTACGGTTCAACAGTTATTGTAGCTTATGTTATTTTCACCTAATAACCCCATAAAAACAAAAAATCAGATTTTAGAAAAAAGCCTGTTTTGATTAAAATTAATGTGTTATGGTCCTTATGATAAAAATAATAATGCATCCCCCCATTACTGAAATTTATTGTGACTTTTTACATTTTCCCTATAAAATATCATAGTTACTTCCACCGCTTACCCATGATAAAGGTTGTTCACAAGCTAATGGGAGGAAGTATGAGTCAGATTGCTGATACCGTTTATTTTATTTCTTGTATTTCGTTTCAATATAATTAACCGTTTGAATAACAAAATGTCTGGTCGTTATAATTGAGTAGAGACTTCGAAGAGATCATCAATGCACGAGGTCAGATAGAATAAACAGTCTTAATGCAAACTGCTTTATAAAATTTTGTTAAATTCTAAACTATAAAGATTCTTCAATTCATTTTACCATAGCTAAATAATTTGCAAAATGTAATTAGAAATACGTAATTACGGTAATTTAGTTTACTTTTTGCCATACAAGGTCATCTTAAATTAATTATATTTCCTAAACATAAATATAATCTGTGCAAGCAGCTACAGCAGGATGTTAAACACACGTACAACGCAGGCTCGGTTGCCGACATTGACATGTTGGCCACGGACGACAATACTGAGGAAGAAGTAAGTAACTTCTAAACAACAGCAGTGTCGTTAATATTACCGACCCTAAACTAAATACATATGCAATGCTATTTTATGCTGGTTTACATTATAATAAGTTATTTTAGCTACTTAGACTAAACGAGTATATTTTTAACACTTTTTCTTCTAAACAACACGACCTTATGGAAAAGTTAGTAGTAAATATTTAAGGTATAAACAAAGGAGTAGATAGTATAAAAGAATAGCTATAATTAATTAAGTATGTTAATACATGCATAAATGTGACAGTATAATTTGTCTTAACGTATAATTATTTTCGCAAAAAGTAATGTGGGTCACAGTACAAAATCCCTGCAAAGTTAGAATTTCTTACTTCAACGAGTTTATAGTATAAATCATCTGTTTCTACTGGCTGAGATGTAGGGTTGGGGGGGGGGGGGGTTCAATCTGTTCGATAGCAGCTCGACGGAAATTGTAACTATAAATATCCCGATACTGGAAGGAAACTATTTCGTATGATCAATCATTATACACTGCATTCACTTTGTTGCTTCTAGACGCAGTTATTGATCAGCTCATACAAGAGCGACCCACACCAGCTTCAAATGCATTTTTTTATCTATATCTATATATATATATATGTATTAATAGGCAAGCATGTTTCCTTAAAACCTATTTTCTCAGCTCGTGTGAATCGCAGGGGAAATCTACTCATACTGTTAGAAAGATAGTTTCCTGTGGATGTGCAGACGAATCCCTTTATAAATTAAAATAGGCAAAGAAATAAGCACAAAAACTTAATTTAATATTAAGAAAACATAACTCGGGCCTTATGGGTTGCCATGTTGGTGACAAAATAACAACAAAATATAAACAGAAAATCAAAACAATGGAAGAAATTCCAATCACATGTTTTATTTACAGCAAAGGGTGAAAATTGAGAAGTCTGTACATTACATACTTTTTGTCAAGTTTTGGACCACTGGACGACCTCCAGTAATAATTAATTTATATTCTAATGCTAGCAGGCTCGTATGTTTCTTGTGTCCTGTTCTCATATTCACTTTTACTGCGATCAGCTATATAAGCATTGCAAATAGTTGTTAGAGTTAATAGCAAAACCTTTGCAATATAATAATTCTACTTTATACAATAGAAGTAGTGTACAAACGGTACGGCTGAAAAATAATTTATTATATTTTTGCTGAGTAGTATGTATCTGAATAAGCGACTCCTCGTTTGATGGATTTTGAATACATAAAAACGGTTTCCAATTCCTTTAGCAAACGCTATAAGGGTCTTTATTTTTGCGGCGTTCTTTTACGCGATTGTGGGTATGTTTTATAACGCGCTCCTTTCTAAACTATCCAGCACGGTGTTTTCATGATTGTATGTTAAAATGAACTAAAGTAGAGATTTAAAACTGCCACGACACTAAAACATAATAATAACAACCATGATGGTATGCGTTTTAACGTACGTACTGTATAGCTAGGAACGTCACCCGGCATTATTTTGCCTCTATGGTGATTAAGTTTAGCAAATAAATAAATAAAAATTCCTTTTATTAGCAAGCGTTCCTCAGTACACACTGTTTTGGATGGTCCTTGTAAATTAAACTAATGCTGACTTAAAACTAATGAAAAAAAAACACAATTCAAATATTTACAATATATTTTTGTTTTCTGCAATCGTATAAGTGTTTTTAAGCCTTGATATAAAAGCTGGGACACCTAGCAACTTAAAGTCACATGAGAGGTCATTGTAGGCTACAGTTAGTTTAGGCCCAAAGTAGGGAAAACCTCTGTAACATTAATAATTACGGTGGTTTCATTACAATTTTCACATAGTGATTAACACGCATTACATTCTTAACGTGTGTGTGTTAAATTATAAGGCAAAAATGTGGTTCAGATTCCACTATATAAACTGTAGATGTCATTTGGCTGGATGGGCTATTAATTAACAGCTGTCCTTACAAGACTACAAGATCGCGCAACTCATTCTACACTCATCTTCATTTATACTTGGCCTAAAATACCTACATTCGTATGGTCGCCATGTTAAAGTAAAGTATTAAAGTATGGTTATATATCTATGCACGTACCGATATACCACTACCTCATCTACCATTCTTTTGATACTGTGTACATATTAGAACTGGAATTTAGTGTCGTTGAATAAAGTTATAGTAATAAAAATAAAAATATGCCTGTGATCGAGGTTAGACGCACTTGCAATTTTGAAGCTCTCACTTAAGTGTTTGAGTGATAGATGGCTCACCTAAAATATTATTAAAGGAGAACTATGAATCATGGTAAAATATTATAGTTTCTTGTTTGATTATTACTATTAATGAAATGGGCTCAACAACTAATTTTAGCAGTTGTTAGCAATAGCAGGAAAGGGTCCACATTATGTGCCTTTGTATACTACGCCTGTTAGACAGGATTGATGCGGATTAATAAATATAATATTATTGCTTGTACTACGTTCATTGAGTAAATATCCTTCATAGCGTATAATAACCTATCTAGCCATACTAGCTTAGGATGAAGGGTTATCATACCGTTATATGAATTGCACTATTCCATGAAACCAAAATATTTTTAGGAGAAAGATTTAATTTGTTTTCTCTAACAATCCAACTGTAGCTGTGATTTAGTATAATTTTGGTTATTTTGTTATTTTAAGTACCTATTAAAGGTTTGTTGATCTTTTCTAGGAGTCGGATGCGAAAAAGTGTGAGAAAAAAGAAGCGAATGGACCTCCGCTGCAGACAGCCAGTATGAGTGTGAGGGCGCTCATAGAGGAGAAGATCATTCAGAAGAGGATCACTACAAGCCTCGGCGCCCACACCCAGACTAGCCTTACTTACTCCAGTAGGTTGCCTCAATTGTTTTATATTTTTATACTCGCCAACTCGTTTTTTTTTTTTTTTTTTTTTTTTTTTTTTTGCGGTTTGACGTGGTGGTGCCTTGACAGTGACCCAGATGTATCTTAGCTTAAAAATGTATATATAGTCAATGGCTTAAACCCACCAACCAACCATCACAAGTAGACTTCTCATTCCATTCCCATTGTGCATTTTGATACTCGTTTTTCGTGTCTAGTTCAAAACACCGGTGATACTAATCGCTAGTGTTGACGATCTTTGTTTCTATTATTTTAGAGTTGCGATTTGCGATTTGTTTTTTGTTTATATAACTAGGGGACGAGCAGTGTTGGGAAGTAGCGCGTTACAAGTAGCGACGCTACAGTAGCGCGCTACTTTTTTTGTAGCGTTAGCTGTAGCTACGCTACTTTTAAGATTTTGTAGCTTTAGCTGTAGCTAGCTACATTTTTAAAGTAGTTGTAGCGGAATTTTAGCTACTTTTCTCGCTACATTAACATTTGTTTGAGATAGTGATTTTTATCATAACCTCAACCTTATGTGAAACAACCTCTTTCAAACTGAGATTTTCAAAAAAATTAGGCCTACTTTCTTTGCTTCAAACAGCTGGTTGCAGCCGTTTCATTCCCTATTACAACGTTGTGTGGACATGGAGGCCATTAAATGAATGTTATCCACATTTTTGGCTCTCATTTCCTTAATTTACTACTCTATGATTACTGTCAGATAAAATAAAATCGCTAGATGCAGACGACGTTTAAACGGTACCGGTGACAAGAGAAGCTATTGAATTGAATGCTTGCAAGTGATTGACAGGACAGGGGAATTAGTAATCAATTTAGTTTCTTTATTATATCGATAATGCTTCAACTTGGGGTTTAATGGAAACCTTGAACTTGAAATAATGAGAAAGCTGGTCTATCAACCTTTGCTTCAGCTGTTGATTGTGGTTTATCATCACAAGCCCTTCCTTGGTTAGATTACGAAGATTTTTTCAAAGGTTTACTAAATTAGCAAAGAGGAAATTACCTTATGGGATTTAAGATATGCCTAGACTACATGATAATTGTAATGAAAAATCTCCATATAACATGAAACTTACATTGAAAAAAAATAGCATAGTTTGCTCCTGCTAACAGCTCTTGTATAGGACTGAGGCTATGGTTTAAGACGAATACCAAGTTCAATTATTATGAATATATCTGTTTAGTCCTTACAAGAACAAGCCTACTATAGCCAACTTGTTACATAGCCAAGTAGGCCTACATGTTATTTTTACTTTACAAATTTCATCATGTTTAAATTAAAAGCCGATTTCAGGATAAGTTGCTGAATACTGTTTTCTCTACCAACTAGGTTGAAGCACAATTTGCCCTATGCATAATGACAATAAAGGACGATTTCTTGACATTGAAAAGTGTTATTCGTAGAATAAGTAATTTATCACTTTAAAAGTTATAGCAATGTTGTTTTTAACATTAAAAGTAAAGAAAGGCAATAAACTCCAATTTCAGTAGGCTAGGCTCTGTAACACAAAAAGTATTTTTAAATAATCTTTTTGCAGTTTTATTGGTCTTAATTGTTGATATAAAACATCTATAAATGAATCTATATTCAATTAATAAAATTAGCTTTTAAAATATAGTTTGGTTGTATGTCCTTTGAACTTAATGAAAATTACATTTTAAGATGCTTAAAAATAATGCAATATTTAAAAATAATTACTAAATATGATGGGACACCCAACTATTTGGTTCTGTTGTTGTAATGTTAGGTTTATAATGCCAACAAATTAAATACAATCTAGGAATAATTTGTTTTCCAAGTAATGTTAGATACAATACTGACATTTTTTTAAATGTTTGTTCAATAAAAATGTAGTTGCAATTAATTTTACATTTACCTAATGTGCGTGGAATAAAAATTAACGTCTTTGGAAAAGTAGCTAAAATTGTAGCTGTAGCTACATTTCATTGTAGTTGTAGTTGTAGCTAGCTACTTTTTCGGAACTGTAGCTGTAGCTGTAGCTAAGCTACTTTTTTGGAAATGTAGCAGTAGTTGTAGCTAGGCTACATTTTAAAAGTAGCTTCCCCAACACTGGGGACGAGTTATTGTTAATGATTATGTGTTTTATTTGGTTAAAAGAGGTTTTAAATGACTGAAACACAAGAAACAAATTGTAACAAAACGCGACCTCTGCAGTGAACCAGACTAGCTGTGTCCGGTGCACTGCAGAGGTCACGTTTTGTTTGATAAAAATTGGCTATATTTTGAGCTATATTGACAATCAAATTGGCTCCAGTTGTTCCATAAGGATGAAAAATCTACTAAGGGAGTATGCTTTATCCATGCTAAAACTAAGGGAGAAAATATAGACTGTAGTTTACTCAATGAGTGGCTCATTCAACTGCAGTATGTTATTCTTTTATCAATGGCTACAGCCTACAGCCGGTCCTTGCAGAATGCAATGTCGACTTTAGTATCTAAAGTCAATGCTAAAATACAATTACAACACTAAATATTAAAAATATCAACTACACATAGTAAACTAGCAGCTTCACTAAACTTCGTTATAGTGAAATCCAAATTTTCAATAAGCGTCCGGAGGTGAATTTGTGTTATAAATTTAACATTACAGCTGCATGGTTAAATCTAAAACTGTACAGAAAATGTATCTATCTATGCATACTGTCTTCTCTTCTCCAGTCAAGTCAAATGTCAAATTCAAAACACACAACAATAACAAACAACAAAGCAAACAGCAGAATACTCGATACAAACAAATTAGTTAGGAATATAAATCATGTCGTGTCGTTCTCTAGGTTAATCGTTTGAGCTGCAGGTCTTTAATCTTTAAGCAAAAGAGATAACATTTATTTGATTAGTTAGTCCTACCGAAGATACAATGGTTTGTATAAATTAAGTCCCTGAGCTAAGCATATAAAATTCCCAGCTTTTTGGTGAAATTAAAAATAAACTTCCAAGTGAACTGATGCTCCAGAACTTATTCTGTGTAGGCATACAGGCTACAGAATCAGCTCAATTAGATGATATTAAATTTTGATAGCATTATAGGTACAGTAGTAATTATGAAAGTAAACAGATTTGAAGCCAATGGGAAAGTGCTGAGGTTAGATTTCCTTGCTATCCACAAGGGGCTTGAGGACTGTGTAACAGCAAGGGTTTACTAATCTAGGTACCACTCTTTTAATTTTGTGTGTTTGTTTATTTTAGTTCCTTCTGTTCCAAATGCAAACGATGCTCCCGATAAGAGTTCTTCTAGGAGACACTCAGACTCGGAACATTTTCTGCCTCCAAGAACGCCTTCAGCCCAGGACTCTTCCAGTCATTCCACCAACCCTCAGGATAAAACCAACTCCAAGACGGGTGTTAAAAGGGCAAGCTCAGATCCTGGTTCACATCATAGCCAAAGGTACATTTACTTACACTTTTTAAGATATTAAACCAAAAGACTACTACAGCACTATCAAATTTTATCCATCAATTAACCGACTCAAACAGCCTACACTATATATTTTGTAAGTAAACTACATCCAACACTCAAGTCCTAAACAATAACCCTCTAAATTAACTTAGCCCTTATGACAGATAGGCCCCATATTTATAATTTTACCTTCATTTATAACTTTATTTTAGCAACCATAACTTACAAAAAAATAAATAAAAACTGTGCTGTTTTGGTGCAACCTTAAATGGCTAGTTTAACTTATCAAAAGTGTAAGAGACGATTCTAACTTAGGCTTGATCTAGGATTTAAGCATCCAGGTCTAAAATATTCAGGTAAGGCCTACCACGTAATTTAGTGTCGGCCATTAAGCTTAGTTAATATATTTTTTGTGCTAGTGTGGCAGGCATCAGTTTAGGAAGGTAGGCCTACTAAGGATAGGCCTACATACAATGGTAGGCTACACTTTAGTGGTGTCTACTCTAGCACTAGTCCCTGGTATAGTCCAGCACCCCCCCCCCCCCCCTCGCCATCATGTACTACAACGCTCATGGTGGAGGAACACTTTGGTGCCCTGAGTGTGATAGGAATTTCCACACGATACTTGCTGCTCGGGCCTTGGGCTCTTTCTTGCTTGTCTAAAGTATATATTTCTGGCACAAACATACCAGAAATTAAAGTTGTTCCTTAAGGCTGGTTCCTGTGTATCTTCCTTCTCTGGCGAAAGTGAAGCATGACTGACTAAGACCTAATGTAATGTTTGTTTTGCCCACAGCCCACAACTGCAACTGAACTTTCAGAATGATAGTTCGTACTCTCTTGGAGTTTACAGTGGTGAGGATGGGACTGGTGGGTATTTCTCTCCGTCACTGCAAGAGGATGTGTTTCAGCAAGTTCAATCAGTGCAAGACTCAATGCTGCTTCACGGTGTTGATCCAGCTCAACTTGCTGAATCCATCCAGGTGAGTTGATTACTAAAACTTAAAAGACTTTATTTAGGCTATTCATTACTCACCTAATCAATGTATAAGATTGTATATGACCAAAAAGTTAGTCTACTTTTTAATGACTCAACAAATAGTAGTACACAGTAATATTTTGATTTGCTGGGAAAAAATATTACTGTAGGGTACAGTTTGGATTTCAGCATGAAGAAAAATAATATTTTATTTATTATACAAAAAAAAATTAACAGTTTTAAAAAACATTTTTTTATCTAGATAATATTTTTGCAATGGCAGATTTATCATCTAGAAAATTATGATATACGCCTTGGCTAAATAAATAGGTCTACCTATTTTTAGTCCAAAAGTTAGACTGTGTTCATGAATCGATTAAACTTACTTCAAATTGACCCAGTCCCAATTAACACTTGATCACCATAACAATAATACCCCCGCCGCAGCAAACCTGACGCCTAAGCGAATTTCCATTTGGCTGAATTGATTTTCAATTGATCTATTTAAATAACATTAGGTTTAACGAGTACCTAGGTTTGCTGCTACAAGGAAACTAATAAAGTGTGTGTTTTAAGTAAAATAATTATTGCTTAGTATAAAATGAATATATTTGCCAAGTTTGATCAAAAGATACCCATAAACAAGCAAACTACAACATTTTACAATATTCTCCATAAGAATAACATGGGAATTTTAAATTTACCATTTTTTTAGTTTTCTCCGTAACCAATAACCGTACAAAAACACTTTGATATACTGAATTGTTTGTTTTTTTAAGCTCTTTAAGAAGGTTTAGAGAAAAATTGGGAAATTTTGTGTTTTGAGGGTCAAAAGTGAGAAAACCCAATTTTTACCCCATAAAACCCCCCATAAAACCCTGTTCCCATGGTCCGATCATGCTGGATCGCGAACTCATTCAAGTTTATCCCGCCTCACACCTTCAAACCAAATTTCATCAAAATCGGATAAAAATTACTCAAGTTATCGTGTTCACGGACACATATATATATATATATATATATATATATATACATATATAAAAATTTGAACGAGTGGTGTTTTCGGCCTCTGGGGACATCAAAAAGAAAAAGTAAATCGGTCCTGGGCCTAAGTCTTACCATGAGACCTACGGTAATAGCTACTTCCCTATAGGGAAATTCGCTAATAAGCAATAAAAGTACCCGCACCAGGGCAAACCTGCAGACTAAAGGAATTTATATTTCCCTGATTGGATTTTCAATTAAATATATATTTAAATAACATTAGGTTTAACAAGTAGCCTACCCGATGTAATATAAAATAGGTTTGCTGCTACAGAGAGGGTTTAAATATAGTGTGTTTTTCGTAAAATATTAATAGGTAGCTTAAGATAATGACCCATACTTAAGATTAAATAATTAAATTTGCCAAGTTTGATAAAAATCTCCATAAAGAAGCATTCATTCTACAACAGTTTAACGATTTTTAAGAATAAAATAAGAATAACTATAACTATAGGCCTAATAACTATAAAAAAACCTCAATAGGCTATACTCAATTATTTTTTATAAGCTCTTGAAAATCGAATACCTACTTAAAAAGAAATTGGGAAATTTTTATGTCTTGTTGAGGGTCAACCATTATAAAAACCAATTTTTACCCCATAAAATCTCCTACTTATAAAACACTGCTCCCATGGTTTGATCATGCTGGGTTGCAAACTCATTCAAGTTTATCCCGCCCTACATCTTCAAGCCGTATTCTTCAAAATCGGACAATTCAGAGAATTTTATCGCATTCACTGACGTTATAGGCCCTAATATATATACTTAAACAAAAAATTTAACGAATCGGGTTTTTGGCATGTAGGGACTTCAAAACAAAAAAATATATTGGTCCAAAGTCTATGTCTTACTGTGCCACCAATGGTAATAGCTACTTCTGTTACCCGCGGGCTTGCCCCGTTTGACTTCAAAAGTATTAATAAAACTACTGATTGCCGTACCAGAAATGCTTTTTACACAGTAACTACATAGTTTGTTGCAATTGTATGACATTGTTTCAGGCTGCGGCACTTCAGGACATTGCTTCATTGGAGGACTACCAAGACAACTCTCAAGATCATCAGTTTCAACATCACCAAGACCTACAGTCTGTGCTCAACTCTCCTCTCCCAGTGAGCCTGGCAGACTTTGCCTACTCGCACAACCAGAACGGCTCACACCAGTCTTCCGAGAGCACTTACGCACAGTCTCCTCTCCCTTCGCCCAGTTATACGTACCCGACTCCCCCTGCCAGTCAGGAAGGACAATCTCCATCGTTTGGTCCTCTACAGTCTGTGATCTCAGGTCCCGCTTCCTCACCATCTCCTCTTTCGGCTGCCTTTTACACTTCGACAATGTCCAGTTCTGCCGCAGTTGAAGCAGCTTTGAACGAAGTTCTTCCCATTAGCACAATACAACACGTCTACCCATCACCTCCCCCTCAATCCCCTCTCTCAGCTACTCCGGTGCCCTCCCCCCTGTCACTCCCTGCATCGTCTTCTTCACCGATACCTCATCATACGCTTCAATCCCAAATGATGCCGAATTCAGATGATCCTCTACTCTCTAGCAGCCCGAAAGACTTTGCATCTAGGAAAAGATTTGACTTTCATACGTTTAAGCTGTTAAATAATGGAACGATCGACTTAGGTACCAGTGGTGCCCAGGATGTAACGGGAATCGTTTTGGACAGAAACGGAGAGCTTAAGTTGATTCAAACTTCATGTAACTTCCAGCCGGTGAAAGCCACAACGTTGCTGAACGGTACAACTACAGTGTATGTGAACACCAGGCCTAAAACTGAACCTGACTGTGGTGGAAAGGTGATGAAGACGGTGGTTACGGGAAAGGGAATTGTTCAAAAGCCACATATTCATAGGACAAACAGTGCACGCTTACTAGATCATATCAAAGAGGAAATAATAGACGATGATGTGTTTTTAAGTCCAACCAGGTACTTATTGTTGATTATTTATTAGGTACTAGTTATGTCCATAATATATTTTAAACTATTGTATAAACAGTCCAACAAATTACTAAACTGTAGACCTCAGTTTTGATTTGCCATTGAAGCTAGCTTGCTTTTGATTAGTAATTAATCAATCTTATTTGCACACAGACTAGAATGTCTACAAAAGTAATGTTTTATAACACTCTTAAAAAAGAATAGTAGGTGTTTCAGAGAAACTGTGTGATTAAGTAGATTATAATACACTCGGTTTTTTTATGTGTTTATTAATGTAAATTGGAGTAAAACTAATGCACTAACTAATTTTTTACAAGTAGCATTATAGTATCACTCTTTGGCTATTAAAACACCATATAGCTAATATTGAGTTAATTACAGTATTCCTGCCAGCCCAGTGAGAAGCGGCATCCCCCGCAAGAGGCCGAGACTAGAGACATTGCAGCCTCATCACTCTCACCAGTCACGACTCCGCAGTCAGCGCATACACCACCCTGCGGCTCCCATCCTACCTTACACACCCCCGCCTCTCCTGCCACCCACTCGTCCTGGCCAAGGTCTCTACTGGCAGGCTGTCACACCACACTCGTGGCCAAGTTCTACCACTCTCAAAGGTGAGACTGTTAAAGCTATGGCCAGATTTTGAACCATAATTGACAAAGTTTGGTTGAGCCACCAACTAAGTATGTTGACGTAAATTTTGCTTTTGTATAATATGTGCCAACTTTATGGCCAACCAATCTGAAAGGACAACTTATTATTTATTTAGCTATTATCTTTTATGTCACACAAACTGTCTTAGTGTCAACAATAAAGGACGAAACAAAATTTGTATTGCAGAACACTGTAAGGGGCTCTTTCATATTCCGTTGACATAAAAATTGGCTACGGCGGGTCTATAGATGTCTACTTCTCTAGGATTGGCATTGTCAAGGCCCAAGTTGAAGTTGATACCTATAAATAAAAATAGTCCAATTTTACCTATACCTTGAACTGCAGATTTATTGAGCCTCACAGTTTTAAAAAGTAGATTATTTAAATTATAACTGTATAGTTAACACAATCGCTGCTGAGCGCTAGATGCCGGGACGGCGCCAGGAGCTAAACTAGCGCTCGCCACTGCGTAACATTGCCGCTGATACACTGAATTGCAGTAAAAATAACATTAGTTATACTGAATAGCAATGTTCTGCAATAAAACTGTCTTTGGACATAGTACCAAGCGATTCTGATAGATAGCAGCACTACCCAGGTTGCAGTCGGTAAAGTAGTGTCGCTATCTAGCAGGAAAGAGGTGGAACAAAGCCCTTTTCTATACGACCCGGTGGTGATTTTGGGAAACTATATTTTTATTGTCAGAAAAGTATGTCCCCACGAGCTGCAAAAAAATATAGGACGGTCGTGAAGAGCTGGCTGATCGATTAAACCTTAAACAACAATGAACGGTGACGTTCCGGAACGTTCCTAGCTCCTGGCGTCGTGGCCCCGCTGACGTTTCGGAATGTCCGTAGCAGCGAACAAGTTAAAAAATATTCCAAAATGAAAGCCAAAAACTGAATTCAGAAGCTTATCAACAATATACAAAGTTACAAAAATTACCTTTTGTCCATAATTAAAACTGTACTCTATATACTACTAAAATGTTTGGTTGGCTGCAGGGGAACTGCCAATGTCAGAGGATGGAAGAGAAGATGTTGGGGAAAACGGTCCAGAGACTGACCTGTCGCCTCATATCAACATCGGATCACAGTTCCAGTGTTTGGTTCCTCCGTGGAGAGGAGACCCAGAGCGAACACATCGGCCCAACACTCCTCCAAAAGAACACCTGCTCTGGGACCCTGGCATCAGCAAACTCACCTCTGACACTGAAGGTCACTCTTACACTATCAACTACTATCTTATAAATATTCTGTTTTTACCCTTGGAAACTATTAAATAGGAATATTACTGCAACATTTTTCAAGCCAGTTATGTGTGCATTCTGTCTGGAACTGCACTGCAAATTTTGGATAATGTTTTAACCTGTGTTGTTGTTGTTACAGTTGACATGTACCTGGAGTTTGCCTGCTGTGCTGCTGTGCCCGGAGGTGGCCGCAACAAGGAGTACGCATTACATCTGCTCCATCTCTGTCACGGCAACATTCATGTGAGTCATCCACCCAGTAGCTAATGTAGACAGGTTGGATTATTGAACTGATTAACCAATCTAATTACTTAATTACTAACTTTTGGATACTCTGGTCATGCCAGACAGATAAGGGAAGAAAATTTGTTTACAGGAGGCCATGTTGAAGCTGATGCAACCCACCCCTTCTCTTCCAGTGGGGCATCCCCTACTGGCTTTCCAGTACACTGACAGTGACCGCTGGAGTGCTGAAGAGATGGACGCATTCCACCAAGGCCTCAACAAGTTCGACAAGGACTTCACATCAATATCTCAGGAGGTATTTACTATTTTACAAATGCCTAATTTGATTGGTCTATTTTGAATAAAATGAAAAAAGTTACCATCTAATGAAAATATTGAACTCATATCATATAAGAATCAGAAACTTGATCAGCAATCAAATTCCCTGTAATACTGTAACACACTGTTCTGAATTTCAAAACTAAGTAGACCTATATAATTTTAATTTAATTAAAAAATATAATGATTACATATAAACATGCGTTTGACTAAACTCAGTTGTAAACTTCAACTGTTAGCAATCACATATATCAAAATTACCTATCTATAATTTGATTTCATGGGCTGTAGCTTATTTTGCATTCTTGTACATATCTATTGTATAATACAAGCTAACACAATCATAATAGACCAAATTATTGTATCACTTACTACACAGCTGCTTGTTTGGATTGGAAAAACTGAAAAAAGTTTAAAGTCATTTGAAAGGTCATCTTTACATTAAGTATATTTGTTTTCTAGCTTGATTTGTCAAAAAATTTTGCAATATGGTGATAAATATGGTTCATCACACGGGCAAAAAGTCTTTCAACCCTCGCTCATTTTTCTCGAGTAAAACTTTAACTAGGGAATCACCAAACTCGTAGACGTAGTTGTTCAACGGAATCAAGGTCTGAAAGTAGATTTTTTGCCACTGATTGAAGCAGTGGACAAGACAACAACTGGATGCAGGTTTGCATTATTGGTTTATTTTACTGTGACTGTCAGACACTTAAAATGTGTTTCAACAGTCTGTTAGATGAATGTTAGGTATCAGCTGGTGTGTGATTGGGAAATTAAATTTCACAATGCTATAGTTTTAATTTGCGTTCAAAACATTGATTTTTTGCATTTTTAGGTTGGCTCAAAGTCAGTGAAGCAATGTATTCAGTTCTATTACTTGTGGAAAAAGATTTGCCCAGAAGATTACAAAAGACTTCGACTGGGAAGGCGGAGAAATAAAGATTCAGATTTTGAATATGAGTTCTCAAAATCCGACATTCCTGTGAGTATGAATATTGTTATAACAATTTGAAAAGTGTTAGTGATGAGTGTTATGCTAAAATTTCATAAGAATTTGAATTTTCAAGAAAGATAGATTCTTAAAAGTTTCATAACTTAAAACCTTTTTGCTTTTGAAATCAGAAATTAGATCCAATACACTTGGACACTTTTAGTAGTGTGGAAATGGATATTTCACTGAGATTGTAGATTATAGTAACAGTGATGGGTAACAGCGTTCAATCAAGAGTTGAGCCTATTCTGACCACCAGTTCTCAACAATACCAATGCATGGACCCTATTATGACCAATAAACCACAAATATACCTACCAAAAAAATGTTACGTATGAATTTCACGGAAATAAAATTAAAATGTAAAAATGCGAGGAGTGCCGGAAATGAAGGCCCCTAACAAACTCTTGTCTTGGTAAAGCAAGCTAGTTAAAATGAGACCAGTGCCATTACTTTTTACTTGTCCACTACTATTCTAGCTCACACCTCTATGGGACTATTAGTCTCGGCATGGTAACCGAAAATATGTCTGTCCTGCCTATTAAAATCTATTTTCGGTATGCAGAAACTGTTTAAAAGTATAAAATAGGCGTAAGTGGTTTTGGAGATTGGCAGAGGCTGTACACTAGACTAAGTACTTAGAAGCACAAGCATGAGAGAGAAATTTTATTGCTTGAACTGTAAGGTACTGCGACGGATTTCCCAACCATTACTTAACAAATTAAACGTGTGATTTTGAGGCTGGGAAAATCACAGAAAATTTTTAACAATGATTGTCTTTTTACAGTATACTAGCTAGGTATTTGTTTTTAAACGTCTATAATAACATGATTTATTGTCATGTGCCAGATATTTCAGTTACAAGTTAAAATATGTTTTTATTTTCAGGCCAATGATGTTGAGCTGGTGTCTACAAGCTCAGAAAGCCGTTTATTTGTATGCGAGTATCCAGACTGTTCAGCTGTAAGTTAACACATTGTACAGTTTAGAAGACCGTTATGTCTTTTGTTCAGTAGGGATACACCATATAATAAAGATCTAGACTATATAAAGACTCAGAACATTTACTGAACCTTCTTTGAGCGAGGCTTAGAGTGTACATCCCTTTGTTCTGCCTCTCTAAGGAGATCATACTACCAATGCCCAAATATGGGGCGATATGATTTCTCTGGGGGGCGTCCTCTTCAGCTCACAATTTTTATTGAGTGGATGCCTTCCTTGAGGTTATTTATCTGTTGTTTAGAAGTGCCATTATCATGATATGTCTAGAGGTATTCACCCTTTCTGGTACAGACTATGGATTTTAATCCTACTCTGTCTAATGCTCCCCCCATATCCAAATTTTAAAAACTAAAACCAAAATCAGTTTGATTAATAGATATTACAGCTTTTATAACGTTTGAAACAATGATATGGAAAGTATCTACTTTTTCGTGTTACTTTTCCAGAGTTTCAATTCTCGAGCAGCTCTGAATGGTCACATCCGCATCCATGGCGGTGGTGTTTGCGGCCGATCTCCCACTCCAGACAAGCGGCCCGGTAGTACCCCCACACACAGCGGTCACTCAGATCCTGTAGAAGAGTTTCCTTGTAAAATCTGTGGGAAGTAAGTTGCAGCAATGGGGAAGGTAGATCAGGTAACGGAGTCAGGGCGCGTGCCGTGCTGTGCGTGTCTGCATCCGTTTGTCCTGAGAAAGCAGCCATGACATGCTTTCCCCCATAGCTAGGCAAGGGTGACCAGATCATTTATCGGATTGTGGATATTACTTAAATACTACAGTAATACCATTACTCAATCTTTAAAAGAAAGAGGAGCTGTTTTACTGAACAATTTCTTTGCTTATGTTTAGAGAAATGTATTTTAATAGACTATATTGTAGATATATCATATTGCCAAATTTGTTTAAAATTTGTGACTGTGAGTCCAGAGTACCTATTTAACTTTTCTAGCTTTCTTATAGTTCCAAATTTGATTTTTGAATAGTATTTAATTAGATCCATGGCTGTTTCCGTAACGGCGGACACTGAGGTTGCCGGGGATGGGGCCTCACTTGGAAACTTTTTTTTAATGATTTTGTAGATAGTTTGTTTAGGGGGTGTGATTTTTGAGTCTAGCTTATATTCTTGCAATCCCCAAAAGCGTCTGCGAAGATTGAATGATCTCACAACTTGGAGCAACCGCAGGTGACAATTATCAAGTCTCCGCGACTGCAAAAGCTAATCACAATCTCTTGAAAACCATTTATACCTTCATGGTTTCGTCGCGATCATGGAAGACGAAGATGATGTTCTCATAAACGCAGAATATGTTCACAATTTCAACACGATCGTGAGAGACGGTTAATGTCCTCGTGATAGAACACAAAGATGTTCACTATTTCTCCCCGTGAATGTAGAACACGTTCATCATTCCTCCACGATTACAGCAGATATCCATAATTTAACCTTCACTGTCACCACAGGGGACACTTTAGACTTTTTCGTAACCGAGGACTATTTAATTAATTTTCAATTATTTTCGTGTCCAGAATTTTGCCCCAGTTGCGGGACAAAATAAACCTGACCTCATGATCGCAAAAATTATTTACTATCTTACAGTAAACGTAGGATATGTTCATGATTTTGGTGCTCAACGAAGTCACAACCTTGGGAGACAAAGATGATGACCTCGCAAAAGCAGAAAATGTTCACGAGATGTTCGTGTATGCAGGATATGTAGAAGATTCTTTGTGATCACAAAAGATTTTCACTATTTTAACGTGAACGTAGGAGAGGCTCATAATTTCCTTGTGACCAAGGACAATTTTTTCAATTTTTGCCGCAACTGCAAAAGTTGTTTGGATAAATTTTTGGACGATGTTTTTTGTGGAAATACTGTGAATATTTGCTATGGTCGTGTAGAGATCACCACCATCTCCCGCAGTTGTTACAAAAAATCTTGTTTTCCCCCCAAGATCTCAAAAACATTATCTTTGTTTTCCGCCAATGTTATATCGTTATCCTCCGCAATCGTGGCAAAATATTGTATGTCTCCCACAATCAGGGAACATTATCATCGACATCATCGTCTTCCCCAATCATTGGAAAATCCTAGACTAATCCCAAGGTCACAGAAAAATTTATCATCCTCTTCGGTGATTGCAGCAAAATTCTGAACATCCCCCTCAGTCGTATTGACATCATCATCTTCTTCTGAAATCCCGGCAAAATATTAAACATCTCCCAAACTGACAGGGACATCATCATCGTCTCCAGCAATCACGGAAACTTGATCATTGTTAGGGGACTAGGGGTATATATGCGATGGTGGCTAACTCCTGACCTGAATATCTACGATGATAAGTAAACATCGTTGTAGTCTCCCATGATTTCAAAAACATCATCATCATCATCATCATCTCCCGTGAGCAAAGAAACATCATCATCAAAACATCTCCTGCGGTCATGGGAACATAATCATCGTCTTGGTGGCTCGTATTCAATAAATGCCGGTTTACCAATTAGTTTGGTCATTTAATAAGATCCTCGGGTAATCTAACCTTTTGACTTTGTTTCGACCAAGGAACCGTTTCTGTTAATGGGGCTTTACTGTAAATGCAAGAAAAGACCACTACAGTAATGGCTGCCTTAATAATAATAACAAATTACTTTTCAATAACTGACTGTGGTTTTAAGTGTTTGATTTTTTTTCAATGGAAACAAGATTACCAGGTAAATACCCATAAATGATCATAAATAAATTATCATAAATGATCTGTAAATGATCATATTGTCAAATGCTGGTCACCCTGCCACATTCATTCCCATTTTTGTCAAAGGTATTTGGACACCTTTGCATGGTTGTACAGGAAAATCTAGTAATACACAATACTGTGATACTCTTCATTATTTTTGCAGTGTATTTTACAAGGGTATCCTAGACATTTAAATAATGTACATATTGTGTGTGTCAGAATGTGGTTTAATTTTGTCCATCAGAGCACTAACAAACACAGATTACAAAAAAAGTTTGGAGCTAGATTTTTGTTCATGCAATTTCACTAAAAACATTTCAAATCAGCTGTATACTGTTACCTTATTATATCTCTCTTGACAACGAGTCTTTGTGGTTGTTGGTTGCGGTATACTTAAAACTGATATTTGCCACACTGCAATTATTGATGTGTAAAAAATGATCATATTAAGATTTCAGGTACTAAATAGTTTGTCTATGATCTATATCTATAAAAAAACTTAATCTATAATTTCAGACAGTGACGTAGAACATAAAAGCAAAATTATTTTCCCTTCAATTCCCACAGACAATGACACTACAACCAGTAAACAATGTTAAGCTTGTTACTATGCATCCCACAGTGAACCTCTTTTTACTTGAGTAAACTAATATTTTGTTATATTGGAAATGTGATTATGATTGTCATGTAATAATAAATTTCATGTATATTATATTGAACTTAAATTGGTTTTTATAAATAAATGATAGATTGTTAAGCAATGTTATATAGGTCAACACGAGAGCAGTTAAGCGGTCATAATACTGACCACATAACAAGTAGCCATTAATTATTATTTTCGGTGATTGAGTACGAATCTCCAGAACAGAAGATGTCTATTCATTTTAGAAGTCATTTTAAATACTAACCACTACTACTGGTCTGCTTGCATTATACATAATAATAGGTGATTTTTCATCAAAGCAGCCTTTTAATATGTATAACCAAATTTGGTGTCTATTAATAATTACTGTAAGATTTTATGTGAGAGAATAACTTGTTTTTCGTTTTAGCATAAACTGAGACATAAAAGTATACAGAAAAACCCCCGAAAAGAGATTATTTTTTACTTATTTTTGTATGAGAGTAATACTGATAAAATGTTGTCATAATTAAAAAAATTAAAGTAGTAAAATCTAAAACAGTTGGGTTAAAGGTTTAATATCAGTTTTCTACATCTAGTTAATCGTTTTATTACTACTGTTTAGATATTAGATAATCAGTGTCATGTGATGGGGACCGTATTATTATAGCTGTACATATTTAAAGAAGCGAAGGTTGGTTCGCTATTGAACATCAATTCACACTGAGCTAACCGAGTAATGTGGATTTTCAGGGTGTTCAACAAGGTGAAGAGCAGAAGTGCCCACATGAAGTCACACAGACCTCCAGACGCAGAGCCCAAGAAGTCCAAGACAGAAGTGGAGTCTGCTGCATCCCAGCGCCACCTGTAGAGACTGTACCTTCAGACCAATACTGCAGCAATAACTACCACCTACTCACACAACGTTTAGTTCATCCCCGTATACTAGCTGTTGTACTAAAAACTATTTCTATTGTGACAAATTTTAAAGTGTATTTTTATAGGAGGAGATATTGTGTAAAGTATATATTCGGAAAGCTGTTACCTCATTCATTATACAGTATGCAACCAGATGTATTTCAGAGATTTTATTGTATTTCTCATGCCTTGTATTGAGAAACGGTTTAATTTATTTTTAATACCACTGTTTTCCAGGCGTGTGATTCTTTTGTAGCTCTAGTACTGAGTCGAATAAAATAATTATTAATTCAGCCACCGGTCGATCGACTTGATATTTCTGAGGTACAATAATACTTTAGCTGTATAGCATTTTAGCATTTGCAAATAAGCCCTTGAAAGAAACTTCCATACCTTCCTTCCACACAGTTGCGGTATCCAAGTGTGGACTTGTCACATATCATAATAGTGTGCCTGGAGTTCAGTCTACAACCACTATTATAACTTGTTTTATTTCCTAGAATATAACTACAACACCCATTGTACTGCTTGTTGATCATACTTGTACACATACTTTTGTGATGAAAATCAGTAATTTATTGTAGCTTAATCTGACGAGCTGTCTTCATACTTAGGTACAAACCATATTATCTTCCTTCACTGAAGTGACCTGGTAGCAGCAAGCACATATTTTTATTAAATTAGAATACATTTTAGCATATAAAACAAGCTTGGCTATAAAATAATTAACAATAATCAGGCATCCGTGTCAAGCTCCTGAAGTGAAATATATCCTTTCAAAATTGAACCACATAAAAAAAATTACTGACATAGTTTTTGTTTTAGCTTTGAATAAAATTGTATTTCTTGAACATTAGCCTCAAAATGAGAGCTTTAGCTATTTTAGAACTTTTGATTTATATTAAACGAAACACTGATTTATGTAAGAAAATTACCAGCTTTTTCGACAAATTTGTTTGTGTCCACACCAAGACAGTAGTTTTAATTAGTTACACAGGTTATGTAATCAACAATGCTTACTCATTTAAAAAACAGAATTTTTATCACAATCACATACTCACTGGTTGTCAAGTCAAAGCCTTAGTAGGTGCTCTAACATCTACTACATCTTTACTCAGCAGGGAGAGTGAAAACAATTAATTTGTCTTCACAGCTATAAATCAAGTTTACACAGTGATTGACAGTTTTGTTAATTTTGCTATTGAAAATACCAACTCTTTTATTATTTTGGTCAAACTTTATTATCTCCCCCTGTACTGCTGCTACAAGTTTCACTTCAATTTTCCATCCTTCATGAAATAAGTCTCCTTCACAATAGAATCTTCTTGTGTAGATTTATTACTATTTTTGATTCATTTTGTTTTCTTTATTCATAATGTTTTAACTGGTTCCATTTGAAGCTATAAACGATAATAAGAAGAATTAGCAAAAAATCTAAATGATTCTCAAGTGTATAAAATCTGTACAGATGTATTTTAGCTTCTTATATTTTTCAAATTAATAATAACGCATATTTGAAACTGACCTAAGATTTTATTGGATTTATTCCCTTTATGAACAATTATTTGTGATAAATGTGCTGATACCAAGGTTTTGCAAACTTTACACTGGGCTGACCAAATATTTTCTTTGCCTATTGGTACCTTTCATTCTGGTGTTTAAAATCTATATTATGAATTAATTAAAACTAAGTTTAAAATACACTAAAATGTACATTATTAGTACGGTATGCTGAAGGCTCTATAAAATCTGCCCTTTAAAATACCTTAAATTTTATCAACTTATTAATATGATATTTGACTTTTAATGGCATAATGTCAGTTTATTAATTCTGAAAACATTACTTAATAAGATTAGGGTCAACTTTTATAAAGGTTAAATCAATATTTGGCCTCTACACAAGATGATTTTTAAGTGAATGAGATTTTTAATTTATTCCTTGAAATTATATGTTTATTTTACATCACTCAACTGTATCAAATCCAATATACGTTCATAATAATACCTCAAACTTGATTAATCTTACAAGTATGGATAGAATCCCATAGCAGTCTGGAATAAGCTACAAAAAACTTTGATTTTCTAACTAATATAACCGAAAGGTTTATTAATTAACCTCAGAGTTGGCATTTTAAACTTAACGTAAAGGTCTACAAATGTTGTTAGTTTGATAATAATTTGTGTGAAAAGTAATAGGCCTAAAATTTGTTGTTATCATAGCTAACGGATATAATGAATAATTTGTTATATAGAACTCTTGCAAACTTTTTCTATATACTTATTATGTATTTTGGCTTTTAGCAAATGTAATCAAAATGTTTTTCAATTTATGTACTTTGTGTATGTTACGATTATGTGTTTTCTGCTGCTCTGAGTATTGGTTGAAGTTACGGTGATGTTGTCAGACACTGAAAGTGTTCTTGTGAATTCCAAGTGATAAATTAAACTCCGAATAGTGCTTGTATGTTACTATTACCTGTAAATTATTCTTTTTAAGGTGTAGATATTGTAACTGGTGTTTTTTATGTACTTTGGTGGTTTAAGTTGCTTTGTTCAATGACTATGGCATTTTTACTGTTTTTCTTGGAAAGTAGCAATCTCCAGGTTCAAATTATTGTAGTCTTTTCATTAAGGCTGTGTCTTCAAAAATAATTGTAGTTACAATTAATTTTAAGTATTTTTGCTTAGCAGTTATTTTCTTTTTAGTTGTAGAACAAACTTTGTTTTAATATTAGGAAAAAGTTGTAGTACGTTTGATACTATCCAAAAACTTTCAACATAGTTTTACATGTTTAAGTTTATTACCATCAACATAATAATTCACTTCAAATTATAATGATTTACAAATTTATTCATTTATATTAACTAATTTGTTACTGTAGTTTAAATTATAGTGAAAAGGTATTTTTCTGCACAGCATTTAAACATTCCATGCATTATTCACACAATAAATATTCCTAAGATCAGTTTGAAAATGTTTGTGAGTTTTCAAACCAGTTTTAGTTGCCTGAGTCTGAATTACATCTATCCTTCCCCATGCTGAACATGTACAGTTTTAGACATAATTTGTCTTTGTCAAAATACTGTCCTACATGAGACTAATGACCTTTTATTAGTACTTAATTATGATAAAATCACAATCTTTTATATTGAATCCTTAATGGAATAATACCTTCTCATTATAGTTTAATTTATAAGTAACAGTCTTAAAATAGTCTCTGTGTAAAATTCATCACGTTAACACAATATTTTACAATTGTGTTAACATTGCCTGAAGTTGAAAAGACACAAGATTTTACAAAAAAAACTTTTTTTTTAACTCTGTAGATTGACAAAATGTACAAATGCCAATCCTTCTTTAGTTGTTTTCAGTTTATATTATTTGTTTTAAAGAATGAATGACAAGTGGGAGTGAAATAAATGCTCAAAATAGCGATTATATTAATTAGCTTCCTTTCTTAAAACACAACTTAATCTTAAGGTAAAACATAAGTTTATCATCTTTTAGTTGAATTTCTTTGTGTCTTATTGTAAATTGTAATGAAAATATTTTACCATTATCTGTGCCAATCTTTATATTTGTTATACTGTACTGTAGATCTTATAGGATGCAGAGGAAAAGACAGTATTATATTAGTGATGTACAGTATGAGACTTTCCCAACCCTGATTGTGAGCAAGTGCCTTGTGGGTACTATTGTCGCCAACAACTCACGGGAAAGTATTCATTAAAATAACAATGGAAAGCAATAGAAAAATTATAAGATGCCAAATCGGTATATATAGTATAGTTATCATTTTGCTAATAATTAAAAATAAGTCCTAGGATACAGTTGTCAATGTTTGTATTTTTAAATGAAACCGTTGTCTTATTCTCTCTACTATTCTCGTTGCTGCCAGATTATTTGCTCTGTGTTGTGATAATAAATTTCTATTACGTGTGTTAAGCGATGGTCAGCTGACAATCCCGAGTGTATGACACTGAGAGTACGAGCGTGTGAATGGTCCGAGCCGTAGACAAATATCTGTTAGTGTTAGTCCCTCGTCAGTTGACAAATGTTTATTGTTAATGTATTTCAGGTGCTAAAGTCACTTTAAAATTATTGTTAAGAGCTAATGATATGGAAACATATTTGTTGTGTGCATTCATGTGTAAGTTGTTCCCTAGTTTTTGTTTGTTTTACACCGGGAAACAATCATGTGGTGTTGCTGTGTCCCTCTCGAACGTGCCTGGAACTCTGTGCCAATAAATGTGCTGCGCCACTCGCCAGTCGCCACTCTCCTCACACTCACATACGTAACAAACCCTCCCAGCAGCTTTTTGCATCACACATCCCTCACACTTTGTCATATGTGTAGCATGTTTACATCCTTTTAATCATCAATATTCAGGAGTTGCAGTATTATACAATGAAAGTAATGACAATAAACCTTGTGAAAAATATATATCACATCGAGCAAAAAATATCATTCTAAAAATTTTGTTTTGTAGCAAATATTAGCCATATCTATTATTATATTGTATTATTATACATCTTAACTTTGAATAACAAACAGATAATGAAGGTTTTTAATTGTTTTAAATTACATGCTGAAATCTAACAGTTAACATTTCTGTAATTTCTGAAAACATAGTAAGGCAACCAATTGGCAATTACATAAACAATAGATCTTTATACTTAGTATTACTATTTTTTTTCATAATAAACCAATTACCATTATCAAACTGATGATCATAAACGCAATACCAGTACTTTTGTGACTGTCCTTGTAAAATGTGCATGTAGTTGACTTTTAAAATTGTAATCCTCTCTAAGCTCTCATGAGCTTGACTTCAGTTTTTCACTCTACACTAAATACCACATCATACATTATCATTGTTATGTTTTCTTTCAATTATTTCAATGGTGGAAGATAGTGCTCAAACAATGGTGCTGGTTTTATAATATAAATACATTTCAATATTTAATTTCATTATTGATACCTGTAATGGATCTTCAGTTAATAGACACCGTACTTACAATAAAAATAACCGCAAGAGTAAAATCGTGCAAAAAGCTGCTTGGCAGAGCTATTAGTAAAATTTTAATAATAAAGAACAACGCAAAGTAGTAGATACATACAAGGCCTAATCTGAAAGAAAAACGTTGCGCCTTGATATATGTAAGGAAATGTTACTTAGTTACAAAGTCAGTGTATTTCACTTCACAACGCCATTCATCATACGTTAACTTATTCGCTTGTTTCGTTCAACTAAAATACTCATAAAGTGCCAATTATGTCTACCTCTCTCTTTCATATCGTTTTTGAGTTACCTTATCGATGTTTTATCATTTTGCCAAGCCTCAAACTAGTTGTGTTCTGCTCAGTTTTCAGGATAAGATGAATGTAGGTGAATATGTAGCCATCCATGCTTCTACTATGCTTTTGTTACCAACATTAATATTAATAGTTGTTTTAATTATAGATGTTTAGTGTTTAATAAAAGTACGTTGCCAAATATTGTTCGATGTATATTTATATGCGTGTACTTAATTTAAAATTACACTTAATTAAATCGTACGTGTAATGAGTGGGCCCCACTGGTTTAGTATATGATCGATTGTTTTTATTTATTACTTTTTTAATTGATCTTAATTAGTGTTCGTTATTTGTTAAAAGTGCGTATTTCAGTTTTATTAAATTGTTAGTGTATATTTAATTGTTGTATTTTGTTGTGTTTTGTTACATCCATTAGAAATTGATTGTTACGCATAGGATGTAAAAGAATAAGTTGTAACATTGAAGGATATTAAAATGCACAAAGAGGTGGAGAGGACACTATGCTACTGTCTATGTCCTATACAATGATCTATCTGTTGCCATTAAACAACAACTCTGTTTTACTATGAACCTGAGCTCAATCTAAAGCAATACCTTTCTCTGACATGGTTGTGAACTTGATATCATATAGGTGCGATAAGTTAATTGGAATATGAAAATATTGTAAAATAATTCATTTTGATCAGTGACATTTAGTTTGATATGTATAATCTAATTACAATAATATACTCAGTTTAGCCTAAAGTTCTTAATGGTTAATTTATGTGTGGATACATATGCAACAGTAAAAGGTTTTAAAGATTTTTAAGGTTACAAAAATCCAAATCTCTATATCAAATTTAAGATTTTTGGAGGGCTATGTTGTAAAACGTTTAAATGTATTACACTCTATCAAAATATATGCCACCAATGTTATTTCATTTAGATGAATGTTTTAGTTCAAAGAGACTATCAATTCAATAAGTAAATACCAACCCTGAGTCCTTTGTATTTATCTGTATCTTTGCTACTAAACTTTTCTGCTAAACACATACCTACCTAACACGTTTTTCGTCTTATAAATAGCATAGTGTCACAGACAAAAATCATTATTGGAAACAAGCAATCAGGAAATGTATACTGGTTTTGTGATATAGAAATTGATTTGCAGATCTTTGCACAAACATGAGTATATTGGAGTCACAACGATCCCTGTGAGATTCCAGCTTATTTTTGTACATTTAGCTGATAACAAACTATTTACATTCCATCTTATCCATGAATATTTTAGTGATTTTTCATTAAATATAAGATTTTAATGGGTAATGTAGATCAATATGTGATTACTATTAGGGACAATAGGTAAACATTTATTTAAATTAATCGATACTATTTAAAATAAATTACAACCTCGGACAAATCATGTAAAAGTATTGAATTCAATCATTAGATGATAGAAAGAGAGAGTTGATCTATCACATTGTTACAGTACAAGAAAAATATAGTAAAGAAACCAGTTTTATAATAAGAGTAACAATAACATGTAAGTATATGGTAAGTTTATTGTGGCAATTTTCTCGTTGAATGTATTTTTATCTTTGAAATATTTTATTAAAAACCTTTCCCTTAGAAATGTTCACAAGAGAGATGGTAACGAATGTGTGTATGTTCCTTTGTTAATAAATATTCAAGAAAATTGACTTTTAAAATTATTTTCCCTGCACAAACATTTCAATAGTAATTACTTGGATTGCTACAGTAAATTATAAAATCATACCTATCTCAAATAGACATAATGATTATCTAGATGGCAGACAAGGTAAGATAGCATTCAATGACATGCACTGTCAATATGTACGGGGTGTTACAAAGTGGTGTAGCTACTATCCATAACCTGGTTTGCACATATAAACTAAGTAAATCTTCACAAATGTTACGTTTACTTTGAATTAGTTTAGTCATAATCCACCATTTTGTATTTTTTCAATGAGGATTTTTAGAAATATCTTAATTATTATGATAATGGTATTTTGTAACAATTGCATTTGTAATTGCATGGCAGAATATTATCCCATAGTGACCAGTCATTCATCCTTGGTAACAAGACTAGCCTTATGGTGCACAGCAGTAGAACCAATAACTTATCCCCTTTAATAGTTTTTGTTGTGTTTGTTCTGTTGATAAACAATCAAATTACAACAGTTTACTTATTCTCCATAACAATAACGTAAAATTTTTAAATACTAGTGTCCCTGTTGCTCGAATTCGAGCAATTGCTAAGTATTACAGGCGTTATTTTAAAACGAATTTCAACCAAGTCAGCAAGTTTGTAGCAAACTGTTAAATTAGTAAACTTATTGACTGTTTACAATTTTAACATATGCTCTTCTTCTTACTTGTGATTTGTGACAACAGCTGGAGTTTCATAACAATTTTTGTTTCCAATGTTAATCTTATGGAGAAATACGAAACTTTAAAGGGCTCCAGGGCCTCACTCTCTAATTATTTCCCTAAAAAGAAAGTTTCCTGCACAACTTCACGTTACGCTCTTTCCAATGACACCAAAAACATGACAATCGGTTCAGTAGTTTCGGAGGAGTAATTGTCACAAAAAATCTGCTTGCTATTAAATAAGTAAATAAATATACAGGGTGATCAACTCAAGGAGGCCAACATTGGGATATCGGAAACGGTAAGAATTAGAGAAAACTTTAAATGGGCGACATTCCTTTATTTTTTGTGGTAGTTTAAAATATGATTTTATTTTTTCAAAATTCAGCCGCCATTTTCCAAAATGGCGACCAACTTTGAAATTTCTTATAGAACACCCTATATTTTATCATGTTTTCAGATAGAACATGCAATTTAAAAACTTTTTTATTCTTGACATTTTTTTCGATAAACCCACTCGTTTAGGAGTTACAGCTTATGGAAAAATGTCTTCCAGTGTACATTTTACATCATGTAGCTCCAAAAAAAGTAGGTTTATAGCGAAAATGCGAAGAGAAAATAAGTCAAATAAGTCTTAAAATTGCATCCACATTCCAAAAAGTCCATAAAATTCGTTAAAAATATTAATTGTATTATTTAAAAATGGCGGCCATTTTCCAAAATGGCGGCAAACTTGAAAAGTGGAAAACTGTGTATTTTATGGTCTTACTGGAATGTGGATGCAATTTTAAGACTTATTTGACTTATTAAATCTTCGCATTTTCGCCATAAACCTGCTTGTTTTGGAGCTACATGGTGTAAAATGTACACCGGAAGTCATTTTTCCATAGGCTGTAACTCCTAAACAAGTGGGTTTATCGAAAAAATGTCAAGAATGAAAAAGTTTTTAAATTGCCTGTTCTATCCGAAAACATGGTCAAATACAGGGTGTTCCATAAGAAATTTCAAAGTTGGCCGCCATTTTGGAAAATGGCGGCTGAATTTCAAAAATCTAAAATCATATTTTTAACTGCTACAAAAAATAAAGGAATGTCACCCATTTAAAGTTTTCTCTAATTCTAACCGTTTCCGATATCCCAATGGTGGCCTCCTTGAGTTGATCACCCTGTATATAGATACCAATTTTTGGAATTTTTTCAGTAACTCAAATCAAATCAAATCAAATATGCTTTATTCATAAAGTACAGTGTTGTACATTGAATAGTGTCAACTAAATCTATCTTAAATTAATAATTTACAGATTTGCATATCTTGGATCATTATCTAAATCAAAAACCAAGAACCAGGAAATGAAAATAATCAAAACTGAATCAATTACTAACGCTAAGAGGGGAGGTGGAAAAATACTCTTCCAGGGAATAGAACACTTTCTTTACTAAATATAGTTTTAGTTTTCTCATTAAATTCTTCCTGCTTTGTTCATTTCTGATTTCATTAGGAAGATGCTTAAAAAATTGTAATCCTATATAGGATGGTTTTTTTTCATATAATTTTAATTTATGTTTACTTGAAATAAGGAATTTTTTATGCCGAGTTTTGTATGGGTGATAATTTGTCTCAGAGGTGTTCAAGCAGTTTTTTACTAGAATAATTGTGTCGTAAATATATTGGCCATATACCGTTAAAATTTTCAGTTCTTTGAATTTGTTTTTGGTTGTTTCATTGTGTTCTAATTTCAAAATTATTCTTATTGCTATTTTTTGAAGTTTCAGTATCCTATCCAAATTTGCTATTGTAGTTGAACCATAAAGGCACAAACCATAGGATAAATGCCACTGGACATTAGCATAATATATGTTTTTTAATGTTTTATGGGTACAAAAATAAGACATTCTAGAGAGTGAATATAGTCCTGAACATAATTTTGAAAGGAGTTTATCAACATGTTCATCCCAGTTAAAATTTTGGTCCACAGTTAGACCTAGAAACTGTGTACTGTGTTTATGTTCAATTTCTTCTGCATTATACATTATATTTGGTTTAATTAACTTTTTATTTTGATTTGTTTTAAAAGTTAAAAAATTTGTTTTTTTAGGATTAAGCTTCAATTTATTTTGCTCTAGAAAGTTTCCAATGTTTGCCAATTCAACAAAACTTAAAATTTCAACTTGTTGCACTGACTCAGCCGATCATTTGATATTTGTATCGTCTGCATAAAAACAAAGATTGTTTTGAGGTAAACATGAGAGTGCACCACCAGCATCATTTATATAACATAAAAACAACATGGGCCAAGGATTGACCCCTGGGGTACACCACATTTAACCCTTTCAGTTACAGAAGAAAATGTTGTAATTCTGTTATCATGATTATGTGTGATTTCTACAAACTGACAACGATTATTTAGGTATGACTGAAACCATTTTATTAATTTTTTTGTAACCCCTAAAATGAGTAATTTATCTATCAGTTGGGTGTGGTTGACACTATCAAATGCCTTAGTTAGGTCCATGAAAATTCCAATTATGAACTCCCCTTTATCAACCGATTCAATTATAGATTCTAGGAATGACACTGCTGCTGTTATTACAGATTTTCCAGGCCTAAATCCATGCTGAGTATTGTTTAATAGTTTACTTACTTACTTACTGCCATGGCCACTTGTACCCTAGCTGGTACTTGGCCTCGCCAACACGCTGTCGCCAATAGTCTCGGTCCCATGCATCTTCCTCTACAAGCCTCATCCTTTCCAAATCTTTTCGTACTTGACCCCACCACCTGGCTTTCGGTCTACCTATTGGTCTTCTTCCCCTCGGATTTCCTCTGAGTGCTATCTTCAGTAGACTCTCCTCCTTTCTCCTTAGGATATGGCCAACCCACCTTAATCTTCTACTCTTAACTTCTCCAATGATATCAGGGTCTTTAAATAATTCTCTTAGCTCCCGGTTGTGGCGGATTCTCCATACTCCATCTTCACATACTGGTCCATATATAGTTCTCAAAACTTTGTTCTCAAAAGTTATTATTTTCTTTTCTGAGTTCTTGCTCAGGATCCAATTTTCCCCTCCATATAAAAGTACAGGTCTTACTATAGTTTTGTAGATTCTAGTTTTTGTCTTTCTCGTTAAAAGTTTTGATTTCATTAGTTTACTGCATGCGTACCAACTCTTATTTGCTAAATTTATCCTATTCTGAATTTCCATGTCTTCCGTATTTTTGTCAGATAGTAGAACGCCTAGATAGGTGAAATTATTTACTCTTTGGAATTCATGGTTGTTAACTTGAAAAAACTCTTCATTATTTCCAGCTTCACCTCTTGTTACTATCATGAATTTGGTTTTTGCATAATTTATTTTTAGCCCTACATACTCAGTTTCATTTATAAGTATCTCCGTTAAAACCCTAAGATCTTCTTTTCTTTCAGCCATCAGTACTACGTCATCTGCAAAAGCTAATATATTAATATTCGTTCCTAGTTTTAGTCCTATGTGTGCATCTTTTATTGTTTGTAGGGCTTCCTCTAGAGCAATGTTGAATAGGAGGGGGGAGAGTCCATCCCCCTGTCTCACCCCCGTATTCACATTAAATTTAGTTGTGGTTTCACCATCTATCTTCACTTTACAACGAGAGTTTGAGACACATGTGGTTACTAATTTAATAAGCTTATCCGGTATTCCGAATTTTTCCATTTTCTCCCATATCTTTGCTCTGAATAGGCTATCATACGTTTTTTTGAAGTCTATAAATAAACAATAGCATTCCTTGTTGAACTCCCAGTACTTTGCTAAGCATTCCTTAAGTATACAAATCTGATCCACAGTGGACCTGCCTTTGGTAAATCCAGCCTGCTGTTCACAGACAAAGGAATCCGTATATACTTCAAGTCTTCTTTGAATAATTTTGGACAGAATCTTATATGTAACATTTAAAAGAGATATTCCTCTATAGTTATTACATTCTTGTTTATCCCCTTTTTTATGGATGGGCACTATTAAAGCTTCTTGCCACTCTGTAGGAATAGTCTCTTTATCCCATATTTCATTAACTAACCTATGTACTTTGTCTATTATTATCTGGCCTCCTGCTTTCAGCATCTCTGCTGTCACCCCATCTTCTCCGGGTGCCTTATTGTTTTTGAGGTCGTTTATTGCACCCTTTACTTCTTCTATGGACGGATTTGGTACAAAAGGTTGTACATTCTGAAATGTAGCTCGTTCTGTGTGATTTGTATCCTCTTCACTATTTAATAGGTCGCAGAAATATTCTCTCCATACTTCTAGACCCTCGGCTTTCTGTATAATTACTTGCCCTGCTTTGTTTTTTATGCTATAATAAACTATTTTAATTTTTTAAACTATTTTTAAGCTATTTTAATAGTTTAAATTCTTCTAAATAATTTAATAACTGACATTTAACAATTTTTTCATAAATTTTTGATATTACTGGTAGGAGAGAAATAGGACGGTAATTTGACACAGTTTCTAGGTCGTCTTTCTTATAAATTGGTATTATTTTAGATTTTTTTAATTGATTTGGAAAAATTCCTGATACAAAAGATGGATTTATTAAATGACTTAAAATATGGCTCAGGCATTTTTTGGCATGCTTTATAACTTTAATAGGGACATCATCGTGCCCAACACAATTTTTGTTTTTTAAAGAGTTAATTACTTTTTCCACCTCCCCTGCATCAATAAATTTAAAATCAAAACCTCTTTTAATACATTAACTTACTGTCTTTTAATACATTACATAACTGTTAAACGCATATTAACGCTTCAATGTACGGTACCGTACTAAATTATTTATTTAAGCTCTCCAAAATGGTTTGGAAATAAATTGCGAAAGTTCATGTTTTTAGGTTCGAAAATGGTAAAAACCAATTTTTACCCAATAAAACCCCGTTACAATTGTCCAATCATGCTAGTTTGCGAACTAGTTCGAATAAACGCAGGTTTACACGATTTTACTTAAATTTCATCAAAATGGGATGGTTTTTTTCCTTTGATTTATCGCATTATCAGACACACACTCATATTATACATACATACCTGTATGTGATTTTTGTTTATCATACGGCACGATGAACTGCTGTTTTTAATACATGCGTTGCGGGTCTAAAGTAGCTTTTTTCTCCCTAGGGAGTAAATAGTATATTTCGTACCTTCGAAAATGATCGAGAGCTGCTAAGCTAAACCCTTTCTGGCTGTGGTACGAACGCTATTTTTCACCACACTATACAAAATTGAGAAAATATATACAATTTAGAGGAATAAGAAAAACAAATAGTTGCTAGGTAGCGGCACAGAAAACATATTTGGTAGCGGTGACAATAAAACAAATCTATTGCAATGCATAATATGGATACTGCTTTTGTATTTAAATACATTAATGTTTTAAGTAAGAGAACAGCTGTTTTTTTTTTTTTGCCCTAGGGATGTAAAAACCTGTTCGGTCCCCAAATGACGATGACAGCTGGCATGGGCCATGGACAGCAATACCATGCAATACGTACCTTTCAGCCTCCAATTGACGTTTTAAAAACGACTAAGAACATCATAGTGTGGTGAAATGGTATATTTCGTACCTAGGGCCGAAAATGAGGTTTTGTCGGCTCGAGATAGTTTTTAAGTTCAAGACGAAGTTAAGAACTTAAAACGATCTAGAGCTGCAAAACCATTTCGGTCCGTGGTACAAACGCTATTTTTCACCACACTATACCCTATTACTACATTATTACACTACCTATTACACTATACCACCATTCACCACGATAATAATGCACACTGATAGTCAACACAACTACAACTTTAAGGTTATGTAAAGAAATAATTTGAGGAATCAGCACATATAATAATAAATACTAAATATTTGCTAGGCAGCAGTGACAATTTGCAATGCTATGGATAATGATTGTGTATTTAATAAGCATTTATGTTTTAAGAAAGTAAGCGGGCAGCTGATTTTGCGGCCCTAGGGATGTAAAAACCTGCTCGGTTCCCAAATGACGATGACAGCTGGCATGGCCAGCAAAACGTAACTTTCAGCCACCAATTAACGTATGTAAAAGAACTAAAAACATCATAGTGTGGTGAAAAAGCCTTTTCTTATGATAATTTTTTTACAATCAAAGCATTTTAAAGTCTCTTGTTTTATTTGTGATTCTACAAATGTATACCAGCTTATAAACTTTTCAGTAATTCTCTTACTCTTAAATATTTTAAATGTAAATTATTTTTGCTAGCCCAATAAATGTTACTAGTGGTCGTCCTGTGGTCGAAACTCGACCAAAAATAATTAATGTACAGACTACTATATTTTCTCCCCACACTGTAAATAAAACATGTGATTGGGATTTCCTCCAATTGTTTTGATTTTCTGTTTACATTTTGTTGTTATTTCGTCACCATCATGGCAACCCAGTTGGTCCATGTTAATTTTTTGAAGTTTTCAAATTCGTTTTTTGTGCTTATTTTTTAGCCTATTTTAATTTATAAAGGGATTCTGCACATCTACAGGCAAATATCTTTCTAACAGTATGCGTAGATTTTCCCTGCGATGCACACGAGCTGAGAAAAAAGGTTTTAAAGAAACATGCTTGCCTATTAATATATAGATAGATAGATAGTATGCTATTCAACAACTGACATTTAAAATATAACCGTTCCTCCTTATGGATAACTTTATTAAGGATTTAGGGGTTTAAAAATACAGTATCGACCCCGAAGTTATTGTACAAGATCCTCCTTTCCGTGGACCCCATTAATACGGACTTTGAAATATTTGAGTAATGCCGAACGAGAATGTGAATGGGTCTCTTTTACTCAAATGACTCAGATCGATATGGTTTTCATTTAAATAACACTTTAGTGGATTTCACAATATTGAGAAAATCACTGGCGCATTAAATATACCTTTAGGGTCTGTAATGTTGTTTATAGTGTTTAATGTTTATACAGGCAAAACATACAACTAACTGTACTACTTCAAAATATTAACATTCAAAATTGCGGGCTTCAAGGAAGTGAAACCGTTAACAAGGTAAAACAGTATATGTTGAATATTCATTTTTTACTCACTGTTGTTCAAAACTTACAACAGTATACATTATACAGTATACAATATACATTCTGAGAAACGGGAAGACCAATAGCTTCAGGCAGTTGACTTGGTGAGATTATAAAAAATTTTGGGCTTAATTTACGTAAAAGCATTTTTATAGACAGTGTTGAATACTAATTTCCCCAATCTATATTTAAAGTATGTATGTATGTATATACCCTATGGACTCCGAAACCACTCAACGGATTGTAATGAAACTTTTAGGCATTATTAAGCATTATTCAAGGATGGTTTGTGTGAAGTTTTATGCAGATCCGTCAAAAGGGCTCCGCCCCAGAGGGTTTTAAGGGGTCCAATGTCAGACTTTTGGAACTACAATGTTTACAATTTATATATATATATAACTAGCAGTCACCCGGCGCGCGTGTTGGGCTAACAACTATTATTTTAAATGGTAATTTGTTCTTTACAATCTATATCTTTATGTATATTTATTAGGTGTATAAATATATACGTTTTTACTTTGACAAAAGTTTTTACGTTTTATTTTTACATATTTAATACCGTAGGAGAGCATTTAAACGTTGTTGAGTGATTGGGGTTTAATATATTTGGACTTATCTAAAAGTATAATAGTTTTCTGTGCTTCATTCTGTGGAAACATTGTGGCACTATTCCAAATCATGGTTTCTCGTCATGATGAACATTTGAAGTACATGGTTTATGGGGGTGCAAATTTGTAGTTTTCGCTTAAGTTCATGGGTACTTTGGTATTTATATATGAATAACATTAGGTTTAATGAGTACCTAGGTTTGCTGCTACAGGGACGTTAATAAAGTGTGTTTTAGTACAATATTAGTAGCTTAGTATAAAATAAATAAGTTTGCCAAATTTGATCGAAATATTTCCATAAACAAGCAAACTACAACATTTTACAATATTCTCCTTAAGAATAACATAAGGGATTTAAATTTGTAATTTTTTTAAATTTTCATCGTAGACAATAACTGTACAAAAACACCTTAATATACTAAATTAATTGTTTTTAAAGCTCTTTCAATTGGTCTAGAGAGAAATTGGGAAATTTTGTATTTTGAGGGTCAAAAATGAGAAAAAACTATTTTTACCCAATAAAACCACCCGTAAAACCCTATTCCCATGGTTCGATCATGCTGGTTCGCGAACTGATTAAAGTTTATCCCGCCTTACACTTTCAAAACAAATTTCATTAAAATCTGACAAAAATTACTCAAGTTATGGCGTTTACGGACTACACACATATGTAAAAATTTGACCGAATAGTGTTTTTGGCCTCTAGGGACATCAAAATGAAAAAGTATATCGGTCCGGGCTCCAGGTCCTACCGGACCATCTACTGTCATAGCTACTTCCCTATAGGAAAATTCGCTAAAAGTAAAAACCTTTTTTTAGATTAGTATAAACAATAAAAGGGATGGCAATGCCTTAATATTATTATCTTTTGTTACTCCTTAGTATACCGACAATGCAGTGCACATAATAAAATTGACATAATCATTTTTTTTAGAATGAAACAATCTGTATAGATGAAACTATTGTATAGAATGGAAGAACGAACCGTCAATTTTTCCTATCAAGTTGTTGACATCAGCGTTGTGAGCTGACAGCTCCATACAACAAAAGTACCAAATCTACCGATACCATCAGAATGCTTGTGGTAAAAACACTAAAGGATGACTTAGTGGAATAATATTTCCGGTACACAGAAATTCTTCAAACTAAGCAAATTTCTGGTATATTAAATATTGGTAGTTTAAATTGGTCCATATAATAAAAGGGTTTTTACTTTTAAATTCATCCCCTCATATAACATTGCATTCAAGAGTAAACTAACTAACTACAACTAACTACATTATTGTTTACACCCACACACAATACTTTTTTTACACATTATTGCTATGTATAGTTGTATATTTTATTGTTAAAGTTTCTAACTTGAAATACATTTAGTACGTTATTTGGCAAAATGTCGAAGATAAATCTATAAACAAG